CTGACTCCACCTGAGTCCGCCTTCTGTCGACCCGTGGGGCGGGGCTGGCCCTGCTCGGGGATGGAGAGCCGATGCAGCAGCAGCGCCGATTCGCGGCTGACCGGCAGGGGGGTGGGGTCTATCAACACCACGGGCGTCTGTGCGAGGGTGGAGTCGTGCGAATCCGGCGAGAAGAAGTGCATTTCCGACGTGAGGAGGACCTTCTGCCTCTTCGTCACCTTTGACCTCTTGTTCATCACCTTGCTCTGGATCATAGAGCTCAATGTAAGACATGTCTGTTGCATGATGTTTCTGATGTTATTATTGTTATTATAAGCAGACAACAGAGAACATTAACATTATTAACCTCTGGGCTCTGTTTTTTAAGAATAGGAACACTTGTGTTCAGAGACTAAAAATACAGTCATGAAGCCCATTAAGTTATTTTTGTTAGCATCAGTTTTGTTTCTAATTCAGCCGTAAGGAGACGAGGGGGGATGATAGTGGATTTTATTTGACTTGTCTAACAACCGAAGTGACACAGTTCTGTTAACCACATTTTTACATAATGTGTGTCAGGTGATGAATCCATCTGGCCTTGTTCGTTGTTGAGTTATTGTACTTTATGCCCTTTTATCACATAACCACCCTCATATGTAACTAATATACCGACGACTGTACACACTGTAAAGTCTTTATGGTCGAACGCTTTTGTTTGAATTGTGTCAAGGCCGAACAAAACTGCTCAGGTGCTGCCGGAGAAGTGAATCGAGGTCACGAAGCTATAAAACTTTGTGGCCTGAATGAAGAAGTGATTATACTGCGGCACACATTCCCAGACTGCTCCACCTTCACCAAAGTCAACGCTGAGCATCAAACCCATTTATACAGTAAATGTGCTCTCATCAATAACGCTGGACTTTTTATTCTCTCTCTGACTGTAAACTTGTCAGACTGGAACTTTAATGTTACTCTGTTCTTATCAGGCTTTAAAAACAGTGGAACAAATTCAAATCCAGCGCGAGACGACAAATAATCAGGTTATTCCACTACATATTATATACTGAAGGCCCTCTATAGACGCCGCCATGCTGAACCGCCATGTTTCTACAGTAGCTGAGAGCGAGAGGCCGAACCCCAAATTCCTCCCGACGCTGTGCCATCAGTGTATGAATGTGTGTGTGAGTGGGTGAATGTGCTAGTTTAGAAGACTGAAAAAGTGCTTTAGAAGTGGAGTCTATTTACCATTTAACAAGATAGGTTCACACTGCAAGCCTTAGTGCTCAAATATGGCTGATATCACATCCATAAGTCAAAGTTTTGGATAAATTTACATTTTAACCCGATGGTGGCGCTAGATTAAGTTATTACAGTTCATCCTGAAGGAGACATAGAGGTTTTCACAAATGTCACAGCAACCACCGCTTGTTGTTGTGTGCATGACAAATAAAGAATTTAATCCTGGTTAAGAATTAAACTAAAGATAAACACTTCAATAAAGACACAATAGACCTTTTTGCTGGGAAATTCCAGAGCCAGGTTTTTAGTCACCAAAACAGTTTCAACAACAACACGAGTGCCACGTCCTGCCAAACATTTCATTCCACTCATACCGATAATACCGCTGGACCCGATGAGGCAGCTGAATAAAATGAGACCAGTCAAGCGAGGAAGGAGGAAGGTCTACAGTTCAGTCCAAGTTCCTTTTCTATCTATTTCTAGATAGAGTTTCTAGCAGTGTTTTATACAGCAGAAGAGGGAAGTAAAGACCACTTCCACTAAATAGGTTGCTGGAGAGCCGTGAACGTATCATCAACAGTGTCCTACATTCCTCTAAATGATAAAACTGCCATTATCTGTGTCAGTGGAAAGCAAATAGCCTTTAACAAAAACTCCTCCGATAGTTTGCGACACAAATTCTACTACTACTGTAGAAATAAATCTCATAAATCAGAATAAATCTAACCTCATAACATGTAATACTGCCCCAACATGAAGAGAGAAAGGCTATTTAAACTGTGTGTGTTGCAATGAAGTCTAATTAACACAGATAAGTCATAGAAATTGGCCTTTTTGTGTCAACATCACTTTCATTGTTTCATTTAACCATAAATCAAGCAGACCACTGTCCATGTGTGGATTACCAATCAGATACATCTCCACTCTTGTAACGAAACACATGTTTAAGTCATTTCTGCCGTAACTCAGTTAAACTGAGACTCAGTCAGAGGACTTATGGACCGATTACTCTAATCATCTTTGTTTAAGGGGGCAGTTCTTCACAGTAGCTGCGCTTACAGGGCCCGAACTGCACATAAACTCTGCTAGCGCCATGTTGAAAGTCATTAAGCACTTCAGAATGATTCATTCTACGTTTCTGCTCCTGTTAGTAACGGGTGTGGCAGCCATTCATTAGACAGGATGTCTGCATACAGAAAGATTTATTACAGTATTTTTCTATCAGATCTTTCTTCTTTTCAGTTAAAGTATCAGTGATAACCAGTGTGAGAGTAAAGTGTAAGAATGATGTGATAAACGGGGGTTTGTGTTTGACAGGTGAACGGTGGCATTCAGAAGCAGCTGGATAAAGAAGTCCTGCACTACGACTACCGCGCCTCCTTCTTCGACATTTTTGTAAGACCTCATTTATCACATTTGATGGTTCATTTATTCTGTGTTCCTTCTTTTTTAACTTCTTCCTGTATCTTTCCCTCCCTACAGCTCCTGGCTGTTTTCAGGTTTGCCACTCTCATCCTGGCGTACGCCGTCTGTAAGCTCCGTCACTGGTGGGCCATCGCGGTACGTTTTCTCCTTTTAGGACTGTGATATATGACGGGATTTATTTGTATCAGCAGAGGGCGCTGTTGGGTAAAACAAACATAGAATGATGATATATAACTTTATATACACTGAAACTTTCTTTTGTTGATTACCTGTATGTAAATAAGTGATGGGCGTCATCTATTTATCCGTATCTGTCTAAAGTGGATCTGGGACTGATTAGGAGACTTTTCTTGGGCTGTACAAACAGTCGTACATTGAAATGCATTTTAAAAAGCTGATGTTTGTACATTAATGATAACAACAATAACTTTATGTTGGACCGTTCAGAAAAACAAGTTACAGAGTTCTTTACAAAAGCATTAAACCAAGAAAAAACAGATTAAATTGCAATGAAATAATTCAACAAGATTAAAAACAGCAAAGTAACAATCCAATGAAATTCTAAATTGGTAAATTTTTATTAGAAATTTAAATTATTTAATCATTCGAAAACAAAATAAAACCATTACAAATGATAAAGCCACTGAAACTGTGATATTTCACATTCCTATTACCAGAATATTGTAATTAAAGTACTAAAGTACCACCATTACAGCATTTAAAGGACCAGTGTGGAACATTTAGGAGGATCTATTGGCAGAAATGGAATATAATATTCATATTATATATACGTCTTGTTTTCGATTGAGGGGGAAAACTCACAGATCTTTTGAACACAGAGCAATTTCAGAGGGGTTGACTTGAGACAGGCTTACAGTGGACTGAACACAGGGTGGACAAAATAAGAGAACCAGCTAACAATGCCACACGGTGTCCTGACGGTAAATAAAAACTAAGTGAAACACATTCTGTTCATTTCCTCTCCAGAGTGAGACGTGTTGATTTGACGGTTATTTCTGAGGCTGTAGGAGTTTGTAATCAAACATCCTGTCATGTTGTTGAGGTTGAGGTTGTTCCTCTTTGCTAATGTTTGTTGAATATCGAATATATATATAACAGGATCTGTTTTACCAGCAGCAACTACTGTAAATCACAACTGTGGCTGCTGGTTACTGTGAGTTAAATACCCATCAGGCATATTTCATTAAAGTGTCAAGGAATCAAGGAATCATATTCATCATTATAGATAGATAGACAGATAGACAGACAGACAGACAGGACAGACACAGACAGACTTTAATTGATCCCAAGCTTGGGAAATTGCAGTGTAGCAGCAGCATTAACACAGTAACACAGTAAACAACACATAAGTAAGGAGAACAACCTAGACATATAAAAAAAGCAATATAAAATAAAAAATTTATAAAATGTATAAATAAGCTGTATAATTGTAGTGCAACAAGGTTTGTAGTTCCTTAATGCTACACACATAATAAATAAAAGATAAAGATAATCAAATTCATAGAATAACATAAAATAAAACAATATCTACAGGTAACATGTGAAACGTGAAGTACAAAGTTCTAATTACGGTAATAATGATTGTGACGTAATGCAGGTTTTTAAAGGAACCTATAAAGGGTTTAAATAGACCGATAGGTGTTTTTAAATTATGTAATGGTCTTAAAATGATCTAAAAACAAAAAACTAAACAGACAAACGTGAGATTGTGTGTTCAATGAAGTGAATTATCAAAGAGCAGCAGTGTTCTCAGTAGACCCTCACTGACACTGAACCGACTCTCACAGGATATTAACTGTTACTTTTTGTACTTAACTGAATAATACAATAGAGAATCACAGATAAATAATAGATAATAGGGAAAAGGACTATTTCTTTTGTCAAATTTTACCCCCCGATGGAAGATAGAAACATTTCTGTAACCTGTATTTTTCATCACATTAGATGTTTTTCAGTTGAGTGAAATCATAAATTCACACTCCTGGAAGGATTGTGGAAAGTAATTAAAGTTCACAACATAATTTCCTGATTATGAGAAACGTTTCCTCCGTGACAGCTCCAGTAATGACTTGTGGATTTGGCACATAAGGATATAACGGTGATGACATAAAAACATGTGATAATACATGAATAACGATAGGTCCTTCTTTAATCGGTGTTTCCTCCGTTCCCACAGATCACCACTGCAGCCAGCTGTGCTTTCCTGATTGTTAAAGTCATTTTATCAAAGGTAAGAGTCCCATGATGTTCAGTTTCTGAGCTGTGAGGGGAAACTGTTTCTCTGCTCAGGGGTCAAGAGGTCAGGCTCCACCTGCTGCTCATTATCAGAACTACATTCACTACTGAATAATCAACGTTGAGTCTTCAGCAGCTCAGAGATAAACACTGTTTCATTAGTGCAACACTGTTATTATATTATTTTGTGGTAATTGCTTATAAACATGATTTGAACTGAGGAAATGTTTCTGAAATGTGCTACAGATAATATAATTATTAGTTTGTTTCTCCAGCTGTAAAATAACATTAAAATAGCTCCAGTGTTTTTACTCCCTTTTGTTTTATCTTCCTTTTTTAATACCTTAATTTTTCTTGTCTATTGTACTTATTTTTGTATTATTTTTTAGTAAATATCATGATTATATTTATCTTCGGTAAGGTGGCATTTAGTTTATTATTATTATTATTACATACAGTAGAGTTCAATATGCTTAATAAATGTGATTGTATTGACAGTTTAGGCAATACTACAAAATAAAAGCACAAATCTAAATAATAGGATTTCCTTATTTAAGACAATAACAATGATTTCTGCTCTTTAAATGTGTAAGTGCAGTTTGTTGACCTGCTTGCTTCCAATTTTGTTTGTTTTTATTTTGCAGCACAGTTCAAACATGTGAGTGTATGATTAGATATTCAGGCTCAAACTGCAGAATATCATACACCTAAAGTCATAGTACAGAGAACAATGGAGGATTAGTGGGTTTTTCTTCAGTTTTTTAAAGTCAGACGAGGTACTACAGTCTGTGTACTGAAAGTGTGTGTGTGTGTGTGTGTGTGTAGCTGCTGTCTCAGGGGGCCTTTGGGTACCTGCTGCCCATTATCTCCTTCGTGTTGGCCTGGATAGAAACATGGCTGCTCGACTTCAAGGTTCTGCCTCAGGAGGCCGAAGACGAAAACAGTGAGTCACATTACACTGGTATTGAATGGTAGAAGATGTATTTAGATTCCTTAATTAAATCAAAATACCATTACATTCATGTAAAAATACTCAATTAAAAGTAAAAGTAATGCTCTTGAAATGCTACTTACAATAAAGGTAGAGAAGTATCATTAGCAAAATGTACTTTAAAGTATCAGTGTAGCTGCTCGATGCTGCTGTTTTAACTACTTTATACAGTTAGGTATCTTAAACATATTGTTTATATTATTTATTTTGTTTTTTAATGTAAAATCTGGATGTGAAACGTAGCTACAACTGTTAGATAAATGTAGTAAAAAGTACATTTCCCTCTAAGATGTAGTGGAGTAGAAGTATAAAGGATCAGAAATACTCGAGTAAACTAGTTCCAACTGTACTTAAGTACTTGAGTAAATGTTCTTATTATGAGCAGTAGTAAAAATAACAGTAATAACAACCGTTACCTCTACTGTAACTACTGCAGTAGTACTTGTATCACAGCTATTAGTACTATTACTATCCCTTCTATTACTATTACTGCTACTACATACATAGTACCAACAACTATGGCTACTCCTCCTCCTGTGCACCGTTTACCCATTATTACTACTATTTTTAATTAATAACATATGCTGTAAACACTGTAATTAGTAGGACTGTCTAATATGTTCATGTAACTACCACTGCTGCTGCTATTGCTATTAATAATAGTACAAATTTAAGTATTTTGGGGCATTTATGACCTTTATTTTGACAGTGAAGAGGTGACAGGATACTAGTCCTGCTGATGTACCACCATTAATACTGTCTAGTCTTTCCTTAATACTGCAGTATGTAGTGGTTCTCCTGCTGTTACATGTTGCTCCCTTCATGTGTTTCAGGATATCAGTCCATCATGGACGCCACAGAGCGAGCTCCTCTCATGTATCCGGGTCCTTTATCTGACGGGCAGTTCTACTCTCCACCAGAGTCTGTGGCAGGTCTGTGGACTCATAACCCCACAATATCCAAAATATCTCACACTTAACTCACAGCTTTTCTTACCAGATCACACCCAGTGTCAGTCCAAAGTGCTCGTTGGCAAAACACTGCCACTTTACGCAGTCATAAGACAACAGGAAGTCACAATGTGTCGTTTTATTGCTTTAACAGGCCGGTTGCATTGAGCACATGATGTTTGCGGACCGTTCACAGCAATGTGCTTCTATTATAGCTAATGAAACTGGCTTTTTGATGATAGGTTGCCTTTAACTTTACAGCAGTGGTTCCCAACCTTTATCCTTAAGGGACCTCTTTTCTATCATTGAGTAAACTGACTAAGAGATGTATTTCATAGATATTTAATAGTAACTCAAATAATGAACACAAGAACTGCAGGAAGTTTGTGTAAAACAAGCAATTTGGATGAATTTCCTGTGATCAATTGACAAGTTTTCCTGAACGTTTTATACAAGTCTTTGTCTCTGTTACATATTTTATTCATTTTTTAACAATCTTAAACATACTTAATAGAATGTTTTTGACAAATCTAGTGTTTTCTTGTCATTGTTCTGAATGTTCTGTATTGAGTGCTGAAATATAGTATTGCTATATGCATTTAAACCTTGCTTACACATCTTAAAATGAAGAAGGCTTTACCCTCCATGAAGCTTTGGCGACCCCTAGTGGCGGCCCTGACCCCCAGGTTGGGAACCACTGCCTTACAGCCTACTGTAGTCTGATACAAACACGGTGCTGGTCCAAAAACTGAAGAAACAATCCCCAAACAGATCAGTTGTTGCTGTTTACAGAGACTCCAGTCTGCAGAGCAGTTCATACACTGGAAAATAAATATTCCTATTCCTGTTTTTTTTTTTTTGCTGTTTTGTCTTCACACTGATGTGTTTCTTCCTCGTGTTCAGACTCTGATGAGGAGCTGGACGATAAACACGATCCAGAAAAAGGGCTCATTCAGCAGCTGACTTAACAGGTAACAGTTGGCAGTAACGCACTGTGTACTCCTAAAGGTTGATGCAGTTGCAATCAGTGTCCTCACCCAAAATCATGAACCTTATTTTCTCTATATTTGTTTTTTTGTTCCCCCTTTAGGATCTCCGTTTCTGAAGGTGAAGTGTTTCCGGCTCCTGTTCTGCTACTGAGGGAAAATTCTGCCTTACACATTCTGCCATTTTTAGTTTTTTCCGTCTCGATGAAGTCTTTGTATCCTCCTAACCCACGAATGCCCCTATGTGATATCAGCCTTCTGCATGCACACTGGGACTGGAAAAGTGTTTCAGTATCACGACTTGTGGTTATTTTTAGGATTTCTCCACACGTTTGAGGAACTCTGGACCTTCGAAGGAGAATCCATACTAATGAGTATTTACACACAAAATTGCACATTGTGTCTGAGGCTCCCAGCTGCGAGATCGAATGAAAATGAAATCAATACATTAAGATTGATTTCAGTGTCAGACCGTAAATCAAAGATATAAAAAAAACAAATGATTTCTTCTCTACGGTATTACTGTCTTATAATGTCATGTTTACATTTAATTTGTTGATCATTTTCACATGCTTGGGTTTGAAGTCACTGTAATGGAAAATAAGCTTTCCCCATAGACTCTGCATAACGAAAAAGGATTTTATTTTATTTTTTTCGGCCAGTATTGAGTCTGTGGACCATGTTTGTAGCAAACGAGAGGCAGAACATTTGTGTTTGACTACTTCCAGGTCTCAAAGAGCAGTGAAATGCCTTACACAGAATATTATTACAGTATAAAGATGATGAAGAAGTATAAAGAATACAGTCTGCTTCTAAAAGAGTATGAAGTATTATTTTATTTCAAACTAAAATGAGCCATAAAATCTGAAGCGTTTAGAGGTCGGGCTGCTCTGTATGAACCGGAACTGCTGTTAGACACAGTCGGAGCTCAGTATGAGTTGAAAAATACATGTACATATCTTCATGCATGCCTTGCAAGTCGAGTGTTTTTTTTTTGTTTTTATTGAAAGCTTGTCTATAAAATAGAATCATTAAAATGTGAAATCTTGTTTGTCATTTGATTTCTTTATTGTATACAGCATCAACATTCAGTGGTGGAAGATGTTTTAGGTATGTTTATGTAGTAATAACACTAAATAAATACTTTAAATAAAATAAATAAATACTTTAATAAAAGTCCTGCATTTAAGATCTGAAGTAAAAATACAAAAGTATTAGCATTAAAATTTAAGAACCAACAGTAAAAGTGCTTATTTCAGAATAAAATATATCATTGGATTATAAGTATTGATGTATTCATGTGTCGTCACTGTAATATTGCAGCTGGTAAATGTGAGGCTACTTTTAATGTATTTATACACACTTCCGTGTAAATGTTTGATTCCATACAGATTATTCTGTACTTTATTAAAGTCTTTTATGCTTTTAGGTTGCAGAAAGTCCTCTTTACAAATAGATGCTATTTTGTATGAAGTGTTTTGTACAGCGAGAACAAAAAGCTGTTCAATGGTTCAACCAGACTGACAACTGAAAGGGAAGAAAGGGATAAAGATCTCTGAGCAACAGTTAAATAAGAATATAAGAAATCACCAGTCATTGGGCATTAAAATCTGAGCAAGAACAGGTTCCTGTTTGAGCATTGAGTGCACAATAATGTCTAGCAATCTTTTGTAAAATATCTTTTGGCCAAAAACTATTTCAAATGTAGATTTCACGTTCCTCCTGGGGATCAATAAAATCTTGCTGATATGTTAATATAATTTATTTGTTGATTATATTTTGTATTGATCTGAATCTGGAAAGTAAACAAATTGATTAAATATATGTAATTAAGTAAAGTACATTATTTGCCAAATGTATGCATTTAAGTACTTGAGTAACTGTACACATTCTCCACTACGGAGGTCCAAAGTGACCAATGTGTATTAAAAATAAAGTAATTAAAGTGTGAATCCAATACATTATTAAAATTCACCTCATTATTATTCCTAGAAGTTAATTCATCTGACTTATTTTCACAATAAGAGTTGTTTGTATATAGTTCCAGCTGTATTTATCTCAGAGAATCTGTTTTTATTTCACAAAACCATTCATTCATTCTGCCTCCAAGAATACATTTAACTAATTAATTAGATAAACAAATGTTAGAATTACCTTAACTGAATAACGATTCAACATTACGTATTCAGTAGTGGTTCAGCTTCAGTTAGATAATTACTATGGTGATCATTTATTTCCATAAAGAAGAAGCTGCACTCGCTTTAAACCACCAGAAAACAACAAATAGACAACAGACATTTGTGCACAGAATTAAACCCACAAACTCGCAGTTTCTGTAATACTGTTTTATTATTTTTTCACATTTTTATTGACAGAAGTCAAGTATCCAAGGCATTTGTAAACAGTGCGTCCACAAATCTACATTTTGCCTCTCATCAGTGTGGCCTTTCAGTCAGTCGAAAACACTGTCCTTTTGAAATAAATACAACACTGATTTAACAAAAAGAAGAAGAAAGTAAAACTCAGAATATCCTAACCTATATCTGCCTGAAGGAGCTCATACAGATCCAGATTCAGTCTTTCGTCTGCAGTCAGTCTGGAAATGATACGTGATGCCACATTACTACATGAAAACGACCGCACGACACAGGGAGGTAAACGACTCCTTTGGCTCAGAGAGGAGGCGGAAAGGAGCAGAGGAGGATAAAAAAAAACTAGTGACGCAGAAAAATCCTGGAGCTGGTGTCCACAGAGAGGATTCAGAGGAACTCCAACAACAAGAGGATGAAATGGTGAGACCACCTGAATGACTGATTGTAAACCTCATCTTTAAAACACTTAAAACTGTGTGTTGAGGGACTTTCAGGATACTTGGGGACTTTAAACTTGTTAAAAACACAAAATATGTCAAAAATACTGGCTTTTTTTAACAGCTTAATTTTTGCTAAATTGCTCCTACAAAAAGGTCAGGTCATTAGAGGAGCAGGTAATTAAACAAAAATATAATTTTAGGGGATTTTTGGACAAAATATATTGAGTATATGATAAAACAGGTTGAAGTTTTAAAAGGTTTTTTAAAGGAATACTTCAGCACTTTGGGACTGACTATTTCTGAGAGTGAGCTGAGAAGATGGATATCAGATATCAATGTCTGTGTGTTAATTATAGAGCTGGAGTCTGGACATGGTTAGCCTAGCTTAGCATAACGCAGGGGGAAACTGGCTCTGTCCAAAGTAAAAAAAAAACAACACACCTCTTAAGCACCTTTAAAGCTTACTAACAGTAGCTGGACATTATATTTTTTTCGGAGCCCACTGAGCCTTTTGAGGTGCATCAATTGCAACCGAGTGTCGGCACATTTGGCAGTTTTCTGACACTAACGTGAAGCGACTCTGGCACACAGAGTGCCTCCTCTAAAACCAGACGTGACGAGGTTTTAGAGGTGGATCTGGGCTTCATCAAGCATCGGAGTTGAACCGATACTGGGCTTTCTTTCTTTAGCCATATCTTGCCCGTTTTCACGCCACTAAATGAGGCCATGGATCCAGCGAGGATAACTGGTTTGTTTTCTTATTGTCAACAAATCCCATGAAAACACCAAAAAGAACATTGAATGTTTCTACTAAAAATGACTGTGTGTATTAAACCCTGATAGATTGCCTCGTCCCCAAATTCTCACTAGAGCACCAAATGTGGATTAATCCGCCTCTGAAAATAGTCCCCAATAAAGTTCCCCCTGTATGAGTAACATTGTGAGCAGCTGTTTTAAGAAGTTAATGAGAAATTAAACTATATATTTGTGAGGTGTTTCTTTTCTTTTTTAAAATCTATGTCTTTAATGGGAACTTGGAGCTGACAGGCAGGAAGTCAGTAAGTATTGAGAGACATTGTTGGTTTTGGTCTAATAATGGGATTTGTTGAGCCTTATTCTTTAACTAAATCAAATTAATCTTGTTATTGATCTAATTAAGTGTAACCCCAAGAAGCTTGTAGCTACATTCTGACGGTTTACGGATCAGGAAGGTGGACTCGACATTTCATCCTCTCGGCGACACCGGCTGAACAGGAGCCATCACGTGAACAAAAACTGAAACGGCAGATTAAAAGTGAAACGTAGGCACAGAGATAACAGAACGGGGGGTGGGTGAGAACCTCAGTGCTTCACTAACACTACACAGATCCACACCGGAGTTCATCGTGGTTTGTATTCGTTGTTCTTTATATGAAAATGGAATGTGTTTCTACTCTAGTCTACTGTCTCTACTTTGTTGAGTACTGAAACCATGCGTCAAGTTTTCTTCTTCACCGCTTGTTAGCAGGTGTAGGATTGATCACCGACTACATTCCCTCTTTTTTTTTTTTTTTTAAAATGGAAAAGTGGTTCTTTCGCATCCCTTACAGTTTTATCCTCAACTGACAGACCGGTTTACGTACGATTATTGTCCTCTCGCCTCCATTTGCCATCTATGTATCACAAAAACATCTTGTGAGTTAATATTTATCTGTAGAATGTCGAGCACCAAATTTCAGTTGATTTTTTCTTTTGCAGAATTAAGTTTGTTTCATGTGAACCTTGGAACCCGAAAAACATCAGCTCAAGCTTGTGTCTCTAATCTTATAGTCGTTTTTTTTTTTTTTTACATTTGAGACTCCAGAACCGTCTGAAACCCCGCCAGGTCGTCTGACAACGCAGACGTTTCCGAAATCCTAAAAGACTCTTTCGTCTGCTGCACAGTTTTTATCCAGTTTCACAAGTTGCCGTCCACTTGATGGACTCCTGTAAATGGCACACCCTGTAATTGTAACTGCACACAAAACAAAACATAAAAGAACAAAAAATGTGTATTAAATGGACCTTTGGTTGAAAGGAGTTAACTTCTAATTACTTACTTCGGCATTGAAACTGTCAAGTATCAACAGCATCAAATGCTTGTTCAGATTCGTACTTATTGATCGGATCATTTGAAAAATCAGGAAATTAGGAGTGTAATTTTATTCGAATCGAGGAGTCTGTTATCCGATCAGTCGGTTGACAGAAAATTTATGTGTTATTATTTTAATTAATTGCTGTTAATTGTCATTTTTTGGAGAAAAAAAATAGTATAACGTTACCAAGCAAGTTAGAAGATTTATAAGAATTTGTCTTGTAAGCTAGTAAGTGAATATTAACTGAATTAAAATAATAACATTAGTAGAGAAGTTTGGAATATTTTGTTTGTGTTTATATTCCTGAAATTAAGGTACTGAAAAAGTTTTGCTTACTGTATCAGTACCAATAACTGTTATTGTATTGGCACTAGTATTATTGAGCATTATTACGAGTATATAAACAATTTAAAAATTGGTTTATAACTCACTTTAATATAGTTATAAGCAGTTACGTATGAGGTGTCCATTAATGTATGTACGACTTTAACTGCTCCTATATGTCTATAATGCTTATAGGTTGGTCCCCCCATTTTTATTTGGTTGTTAACAGGTTCAGTTTTAATTTCTTTAAACCAGATAAAATGGTCTTTTAAGAAATTAAACTAACGACCTGCTGGGTTTAACAGTTTTAACAAGAGTTGCAACTTCTCTAATGTGAAGATTTGCTGGCTGTCTTAATCTTCTGTGAAAATAAACTGAAAACTTTTGGCTTTTGGACTGATGGTCGGACAAAAAAAGACATTTTTTAAAAGACCTCAACATGGACTTTAGGACATTATAACAGGCATTTTTCTCTATTTCCTGACTTTTATATTCAAAACTATTAACCATTAATCCATAAAATAATCAGATTAACTGATGATGAAACTAGTGTGAACAATCTCCATGTAATCATCAATTCAAGAGTCTCAAAGGTAAAAAAAACAGATTGCATGAGACACAGGCTGTATGTAAACCAGCTAATTAGAACATTTCCTCCTGTTAACATAATGGTTTGTTTGTTACTTGTCTCTACCGGTCTGGGACAATCTCTAAATGCTGTTCCATATCTACCCAGCAGGTGTCCTCAGAGGACAACGACTGACCCGACAGCACATGACTACTGCATCTTGTATGTGTGTGTGTGTTTGTGT